TCCATCGGGGACAGCTTTGCCGGGGACTTCTTGGGGTCGTGGCGGGGCGGCATTCCATGCGGAAAGCAACTTGCAGGCAAAATCGCGGGGACTAGGGCTTTGCGCTGTAGTAGACAGGACTTGGTAAATCACCATCATCATCATCATCATAATTGGTTTCGCAGTCGACACAAAACACCTGTGTAGAGTACCGTGCACAGACTTGCACACGCAAGTTGTCACCTTCAGCTTCTGGTCCTGTAGCAGCGACGAAACCACCTCATGCCACCACACATCACGGAGCCACCACCGTGGCCATCACCACCAGCAGTACCATACTCACCGCTGGTGTTTTTTCACTCTCGCAATTGCGATAGTTTGACGGAACTATCTCGGTGATGATGTCTACTATGAATGTGTGGGGTATGTCAATGACAAATGTCCTTGGTGATGACCAGGACTGTGGTATTGGTGATGATGATTGTGAAGATGGTGATGAAGATGATGAGGAAGCCGACGCACGTACTAGCATGCACATGCACACAGCAGTCCACACATGTGCGCGAACGCACACACAAAGATATGCAGTTACGGACATGAACCTGAACGTAGTTGTCAATGTCATGAAGCCACCGGCAACATACGCTAGTACTTGTCGATGCAGGCATGAAACGAAACATGATCAAGCTATCCACAACAAGAAACGGGGGCTTTACAGGGCTTGGCATGCAGGGTTTCGATGTACGAGAAGACAGCACGACCCAGCGGCATTTTCGAGAAAGGCACCGCAACTTCATCAGCATTAGCTCTTGCTCACGACAAAACTTGCAGCCTTCAGCATGCATTGGGTCACATGTTAAGATCGGCGGTCGGCTGACACATGTAGATACCACAGTCTTCCGTGGGCACGCAGCGGTTGGTCCTTGGGGAGATCTGATGAGGATCAATCCAGATGCCAGCATGAGTACAATTGCTTCAAGTTTGCACGATATGCCGGACTACAAGCCCCGGGTCTCAGGCTTTGCTAGGTACCGGCCAGCCATGGTGTCACCATGTGGCGACGCTGGAGGGACTGTGAATCCGAGCGAGGTGCTGAAGCTTGTGGAGTCTTGGCGCTCGCCCAGCATATCATGCGAAATAATGAGGAATATGAGACCCAACTTGCTACAGACGTTCCGATCGTTCCGATGAGTCCGTGGTTGAGAAAAGAACCATCGAGGATCCCAGCGGACTCCCGACTTCTGATAGCAATGAGAACAGCATTTAGTTTTCGGGAAGTACATCAGTCACTTGGGGAGTGCATGTCTTACAAGTGCATGTAGTGGTCTGGATCTAGTTGGGTTATTGGAAAGTGCATGTCTCGAAGGATGTTGCTTTGCCGGCAGGTAGGGTACTCCTTTAGCTGTCAAGGTATCGACAGGATGTGGCTTGAGTGGGATGGCTCGACACCCAGGAGTTCCTGAATCTTGCATAGTTCGGTTGCGCGGAGATGATTGTGATCTTGGAAGGGCCTCGTGCGAAATGGAGCAATGAACATGCCTCGCCTGGAAACTGAACTCGGAAAACTCGTATTCGAGGTTTGGGGGAATTTCTTCCAGCGCCTGAGGAAGAGGCCTTCAGTGCCCAACTCCGCTCCGTCGACGAGCGGCTGGCAAAGCTCGAGCCCCGTGGCCTACGGATGCCCACGGCGGGTTTCGGCTTCAAGACTTTGCAGGTGGAAAAGGTTAGCTTACTGACTCATCCGGCCTCAGACTCGGAACCGACCCAAAAGGATACCTTGAAGTATTGCATGGTGTCAGAAGAAGGACTGGGAACAGAACGCAGACGCTTGAGAGCCTATATAGAATTAGTCTTTTGCGCGGACCCGGGACCGAGTTGGGGTTACAAGTGGGTTTAGGGCATTGGTCAGAGCCAAGGCTTTGTGTGCAGACGCGGCTGCTTGCCCGATTTCATGTGGGAAGATTCGTTTCAGTCTGCGGTATCCTTGAAGCTGGACCGTGCTTTCGCGGGAAAGCCCACGGTGGCCTCAAAAAGTCCGGACGTGCGGTGCCGGTCATTTCCTAGCTGATCCTGGCTATGAGTTCGACTGAGCAAGCTTGCATCGGACCCGTTTGTTACTGCAATCTCCAGGCTGACTACTATACTGTTGAGTCTCGGCGCAGCTGTACCGCAAAGCCAGTACAGTAAGACGATTTCCGGCGTGGCAAAACCAATTCTTGATGTCGGGCCTGTTTGAGCCCACATGCGCCCCTTCGACACTTTGTGTGCTTCTGCCCCACTCTGTTTCGCCTTACGTTGACACTGATCATGCTCGTGCTCCTTGCAGTGCGGAGACTCGATGCGTGTCTCTGAGGATTGGTGTTGTGGATGTCGCCAGGGCGACTCTGGGACTGGCAAAGTCGAGATGTTTTTGCCAGTTTTTGTCCCTGGCAGTGTCGCAGTATTACGACAGGTACGGGAACTGCTTACAGCTGCTTGTGGACTGGGTGCCTCAAAACCTTTTTGGCCCGCGACCTTTTGACCTCAGCGTCAGATCTGAGGTCCTCCGACGCCGAAGTGCTGGGCGTGTGGTCGCTTGTCAGCGCTTCTTGTGCTTCTCTTGACCCAGAGGCTGATCTTCGTCGCAGTGAGCCATCGAAGGCAGCACCTTGCATTTGGAGTTGCCTTGCGGCAGCGGCATCGGCTAAAGAAACTGAGTGTCAGACGTAGCTGACTCGCCATCTGTTCGGATTCCCCCCCTCTCGAGTATGATGGTATGCCTTTGTATTGTCACATGATCGCTGTTGTTACATATATTTTGTCATATGGTCATTGTCATTGCATGCTATTTGCATCATTTACCATGATCCGTGTCGCATGTACATGTGTTGTTACGCAATTGGCATCGAAAGATTGATTTAAATGGGCCCATCACGATAGTTCATGGCGTCATTGTCAGAATACCGTTCTGATGACCCTCGTTCCCTACACAACCCCTAGATGCCCCGGCACCCCGAAACATGCAAGGTCCCCAGACACTGAAGTCCTGGAAGATCTGCAGCTTGGCTGCTCTTTTCCTCGATCCGTCTTTTAATTTTTGTTTTGACTGCGGACCGGCCTTCAGCAAAGCCCGCGCAGAGGCTCCCAGATGTGAGAGTCGCACCCATGGAGCCGTCCCAGAACTTGGCCGACCAGGAGCCACACAGCGGAAAAGTTCCTTGGACTTTGGTGTCATTGGGGCTCGGGCTTGTGGCTTAGGTGTCGACTTCAGGTTGTCGTGCCGAGCTGGAGTGGTTGACCCCCAAAAAAGTAGAGTAGGCAGCTTTTGACAGGAGCCATGCTTCGTTTGCTTGTGATCCTTGGAGTGATTTACCGGGTATTCGAGCTGCAGCACCAAGGCGACCGTCGAAGATGGTTGGAACTACAAGTTTGAAGGTCCCTTGTGGCTCCTGGTTCGATAGTTGGGACTCTCTTTGTTAGGGTAGCACAAACAGTAATGCCGTCACAATCAGCAGTGCTGTTCATCATCGTTTGCACCATCAGCACATATCAGCACCACAAGCCACAAGCAGCAGTCCAGCAGTAATGACAACATATGTAACCGGTCAAACTCGGCCTTGCGCCTTCACTATCATGATGGCCCATGGCCATCATCATAGCCGCGGGGATCTTGCCAGTACCATCATCAGGACTCCTAGAACCTTTGTCATTGACATACTTCCCCTGCATGTCGGAGTTTACTGTCGACATGACCGCGATCATCATCATCGTCATCATCATCACCATCATCATCATCACCATCGTCGGTAGCAGTAGCATCTGCCGGCATGGCCATCGTCATCATCGTGTCCTTCACAAGATCGCCATCATCGGGCACCGCAGGTGATGGTGGCGACACCTGGTTTTCTGGTAAAACCATGTTGACTGGTGACTCGCACCAGTGCGTTTTTCTCGTAGCCCAGTGGAATGAGATTTTCTTGCTGTTGGTGCTGGTGCTGGTGCTGGTGCTGGTGCTGCTGCTGCTGCTGCTGCTGCTGGTGCTGCTGCTGGTGCTGCTGCTGCTGCTGCTGCTGCTGCTGCTGCTGCTTGTTGTTGCTGCTGCTGCTGCTTCTTGTTGTTGTTGCTGGTGCTGTTGTTTTTGCTGCTTCTTCCGATCCACGTGTGGGCAGGGGCGGCTTGGGATGCCTCCGCCCTCGCTGGTCTCGGCATCTTCTCGTCACAGGAATCAATGCCACCTGCACTGTGAACGGGGTTATGTAGCTGGCAGCCATTTGTCGAATTTCATTGCATGTTGGGATTTGTGCGGACAGTTTGGCCGCGTATGGCTGGTAGGGAGCCCCGAGCAGCTTTTTGCCCGTGTGCAAGCGTAGCAATTCTGGATCTGACACTGATCCTGTTACGAACCCCTGCTCCTGGTCAAGTACTGCAGTCTACACTGTAAGTTTACAGTGAAGTTTATAGCACAGCTGGACAGGCAACTGACTGCCAAGGAGGGCGAGGGACATGGGCAGGTCTGGGTAGAGGTAGAGGTAAAGAGAGACAGTAGAGTGGAGACATTCACCGAAAGAACCAAACTGACAGAGAACGAGAGTCAGCTTCGAGACTATCCAAGCAGACTTTGCCTAGAGAGTTCTGGAGTGGATTCAAATCAAGCCCCGAACAGCCCGGGCTGGATAAGTTGCTGTTTTCGACTGCAAGGGTCGCAGGTGCAAGATCTCGTCTCAATGGCAGGAACATGACCTTATCACTCCATGTGTAACCGAGAGAAATTGTCCCAAGCTCGCTTTAGACTTCTGTGACATGGAACGCTGGTTTATCGTTCACAGCATGATTCAGCATTTGTGCCGGTGACGTCAGCATGATGCCAGCTCCCGGTTTGAACTCACAGGCGAGTTGTTACCACACAGAGAAACAGTAAACATACTGGTAGTGCCAGCACCTCCAACAGCAGCTGTGCCTGTGCAAGGTTGATCGTTTTTTGCGGCACCTTCTCCCTGCTGCTGCAAACGGTTTTTGCGATAATCCTGTACGAGGCTTGCTTGCAGGATGGCTTTCTGGCTTTGGCCCATTTTTTGTTAAGACGAGCAGGAGACTTCTTCACCATGGGATCTAGAGGTTCAACAGTAGTTGCACAGTCGCAGCTGCACCCTGGCTTGCCCACCGCGAGGTCCTAAATGCCACGATTCTAGTCAAGCCGTAAGCCGCGAGAGCTCCATGGCCCCATGGCCGTACGGTGTGTGATGAAAGCCCGGAGCCTTAAGGTCAGAACGTGGGACCTTCTCAGAGATTGAACTGCTCCTGCGCCCAGGAGAACATGATTGAGAACATCTTCACAGATCAGCTCGTCCAAGAGCTTCGAGACTGGCGTGTCCTTTTCGGCTAGGGGCTTAGTAGGTCTGTGTTCGTTTGAGGGGTTCCAGGGTTGGCTCCAAGAGCATCTTGTATAGGCGGATTGTTCCCAGGCCTGTTGCAATAAGGTACAAGTATGTGGCAAAGTTCAAAGCGGATTTTGCTTTCGAGTCAAAGAGTGTCACCAGAAAATCCGTCGCCGGAGTCGCCCACGAGCTTGTGTCAGGTTCGTAGAAAGCATCGCGGCCAGCTTGCTTCGATTATGTTGGATTCACCATTATTGCCCCAAAGATTGCTGAGCCGCAAGAATCCAAACCACCGTGCCTGCTCGAGGGCACACGCGTTACAAGCAGGCGCGCGCGCGCCCCTACACACACACACAACCCAACCCAACCCAACCCAAGCAATTGTTATGGATCTTTTCTTGTGGCGCAGGATGCAGCACACAGAACATCTCAGAAGCCGAAACCACCCAAAGTCTCAAGTCCCGAACCCAAGAGGCCACAGCAGTGAATTCGTGGACTCCATCACCGGCGAGCCTCTCATGGTCGGGCTGTGCAGTGGCTCACAGTCTTTGATGGATGGGCGAGCGCAACCTGGCTGAGACTCGTCGCAGGGCTCACGGCGTCAGGCTTGTCTCTCGAGGATGGGTGCGTTGACCCGTCGGAAAGGCCTCCCCTTCAAAGTTTGCAGAGGGGACTGCACGGGAAGCATGTCATCGCATGCACGCTTCACCCATGCAACATCCCTTCCTACCCCGACGACAATGCACGTGATCATGTGGTAATCTAGCGCCGGCACTTGTGGCGTGCTGGCGGCAGCGGTTGCCAGGCAAGCGGAGATATACCAGAGTGTGGTGTCCTACGGCATTCGGGTGCGGGACGAAGCGAGCTCGCAGCACAACTGCATTTGTCTCGTCTGTCTGTCTGTCTGTCTGTCTGTCTGTCTGTCTGTCTGTCCATCCATCCATCCATCCATCCATCCATCCATCCATCCATCCGCGGTTACACCCTTCGGCTGCGATGTGTCGATTTCAAGTCTTCCTGGCCCTGTATTGTTAAGCCAGAGTTTTCACAAAGCACCAAGATCTGGACGGAGTGCTTGACTCAGTAATGCAAGGGTCCCTCTCAGAAGCTCCAAACCCGCCGCTTCCGTGTCACTTTGGGCACGGAATAACTGGCATTTGATTGGTGAGCGCGGATGGTGAACAGACACCTCGGCCTGGGCTTGGCCTATCTATGTCTACATCTATATCTCTATCTATAGTTCTACTATGTCTATTCCTATACCTAAACCTATGCCTATTCCTATGTATGTATACATACATATGTATATGTATATGTATAAATCTTATATGAATCTATTCATGCAGTTTCGGCTTGTCACTATCTTGTTGCGCCCACGATTGGGCCCGACAAGCTCTTACCCTGTGTTTCAGAAAGAGTCTTAAAATCGGAACTTGAGTTACACTGAAACTACCTGCTGTTCAGGGGCTGGGGAATCACGGTGGCTGCTACGGCCGATGGAAAGCTCAGTTCTACGGCGGGATTTTTGGTATACGCATTGGTCATGGGAGTTTTGCTGCATTCAGAGCCCCAATCGGACTCCAACTTGGTGATTTCGGTTCTTCTGAGACTCCTCTCCGGCTAAAAGTGTAAGGATGCACTTAAGGCCTGTTGCTTCGCTTCCGGCGGGTGCGTGGCTGGCGCTGCTAGCGCTCCTTGCCCCTCGGAAGCACGTCGAAGTACATGGTATTTGGGTGTCCCTCAGAGGCCGTGGTTCCAAGAACAAGCAGTTTGCAAAAGACGTGCGTTGCCGCGACGGCAAAAGGATGTCCGTAACGGGATCCGTAACAGGAACGGCGACCGATCCCGTAACAGCAACCACCAGTTCCTGTCATACCTGCAGGCCGCCCCCTGTCACAGGAACCAGGTGCAGGGCTCCAAGAATGACTTGTTTCACATCCACCTGCTCTCGTGGGCTCGCCGGGGCCGCTTTCCAGTCCCCCACTTATATGGCTTCAAAACATCATGTCATGTAGCAGTAGAAACTGGCCTCCTATGTCCACAGCAACCTTTGTCCTGAAGTTCCGATGGCTAGAGCATGGGTGTTGCCATAAATTAACGCTCCAGAATAGCTTAACATTGCACGGGCCTGCGAGTGAAACTGCAAATTTCGTGACTTGTGTCCTACTTCTGGTGCTAAGACCTGCCCGAAACCCCAAACCCCAAAGTTCTCTCGAGCTTTAAAGCCGTTCTCGGCTGGCAAGTGCCTGAACCCTTGAACCTCACCCGTCAACCCTAAACCCCCAAAGCACCAAACCCCTGAACCTCGAAACCTCAACAAACCAAGCTGGCGCTGGTCAGTCCACGATGGCGTACAATTTCCTAGCCCGCCACCAATAGTAGTAGTGGTATGTCTGGAATATCCCCTGCCCTTTGCAGATGCCCGGCACCTCAGCGTGATGCTGAAACATGTCTTAGCCTCTCTCAATACTGGTGGCTTTATTACGCTTTGTTTACCTTGTTTCTTGACCCTTCTGTATGGAGATGAGGCTGGGACGGCACCCCTACTTAGACTCTCGAGTGACCTAGTCGGATGCAGGTGGATGTCCTCTGGAGGTGGTCCCTATGTTTGTACTTAGCGTTTTTATTTATATGTCTATTTAATATGCCCTTAGGTGTTGTAGTTGTCAGTGGACCATCACGCCTGTTTGGTACTTGACTTAGCAAACTGGGACGGTCTGATTATCTGGGTTTCTGTTCGGGATAGGACACTGTTCCCTTTGCTGAGTCGAGTTAGGCACCGAAGGTCGGCGCTTATGCAATCCCTTGTGTAACGACTGGTTGCGGATTGGCGTTGGCTTTTTCTGGAAGGGATTGCGCTTAACCCCTGACCTTCACACAACCAGTCTTCAGAATCGTCGAACGAGTTCCCTGCGGTGCGACTGAGTCAGCTGGGCGTGTGGGAAAAATAGTAGTAGTGCTCGTGGTACGACAACTTCGACTTGCATTCGTACGAACCTTCTTGTAAGATAAAACATCCATATTCTTTCGGCATAATCAATATGAAGAAACAAATTGTGGCCTCAGAGACAAGGAGCGTGTTGCCACATTTGCCACTGGCATCCTATATCCCAAAGCGTGAATCTGTTTCAAACCCAAACTTTATATGCATCGAACGAAACATAGGTGTCAGCACAAGGCTTTCATGGTGTCAAAGTAGGGGATTGAAAACCGGTCCCCCACACAAAAGTTCCAGCATAGTTTCGGTTGCTTGGCTTTCCTGGGGCTGTTCCTGTTATGCTCCCGGCGCGGTTCCTGTTTCTACTAGCCCTCGTTCCCGTTACGACCCCCAGAAATGGTTTCCATTACTCTCCAAACGGCTTCTCTCGCTCCCCGCGCCCGGCTGGGGTCACTTGCTTCCGGCAATCTTGCTTGTCAGTTGGCAGGCCCTCGGCCGGCTGTCGCGGGTTTAAGGTCTTGTAGGGGTTCAGGGATAAGCCGCAGAAGCGAATCCACCTGTCTAGGGCACAATCGCGAGGTTTGGACTGCCACGGTCACCAACGAGCTTCTCTCCATCGTGTCCCTAACTTGGGCAATGACCTCCCTTTCAGCAGACCAGACAGCGCCCCGGGCAGAACGTGACCCTGTCGCGGCTTACAGGGTCTTGAGATGCCTTGCTGGTTGTTGGGTCGGGTGGTTTGGCTTTGGATGGATACACGATCCAGCCTTTAATGTTCCCATCCTCTTGCTACGACTGTCCAAATTATTACTCACTCCCGCACAGATGCATCGAGCTGACAAGAATCCTATAATCCTACTCGTTTTCGTCGAACATGCGCCAATCGAGCATGGCTGAGTGCAAGTGTCCCTGGAAGTTTCGAAGCGGAGGGTCTCGCAGAAATATCTCTGAAACTTCTGCGGCAAGGAGTTGGATGCGGAGAACTTGTCACTGAAGCGGATCAGCCGCGGCCGCGCAGTGATGCTGACCCTGACATCTGCACCTTGTTAGCCTAGCTCATGCTTCGACTTCATCGCACTGAAAGTCTTTGCTGCTCGGGGCCACAACCGCACCGACGGAGCTTCTCAAGAGCTACAGTTCCCCAAGAGGCGATCGCATGTACCTTCGAATTCAGAAAAGCAGACTGCTCCAATTTGCGGGTTGGCCAGACATAGTTCTCGGTCCACAAAGTTCTTTCGACGAAAGGGTTTAAGCCAAGTCTAGCAACCGCTGCGATCTCAACAACGTCCACCAATGCCAACTGCCCTTCGTACCTGTGCTCGAGGCCACGAGACTCATCATTGCAGCAATGCTGGGAGTGACAGGAATCCGCTACCTTGCAGCTCGTCTTCAGTCTGGAGAGCTTTTTGTCTTCGCAGATGCAGGCGAAGACTGGTGTTCCCAGTCTTTCGTTCTTGAGCTGTGCAGGCAGCGCATTAGGAACCATGACAACGTCGACTGCTGTAACTCGATAGTATGGCAGTAGCTGGAAGCAGCAAGAGCTGCAGGAGCAGGAGGAGTAGCAGCAGCAGCAGTCGTAGTCGCTTCCCCCAGCCAGCTGAAGCCTCACCATCCTCCCCGCACGCAGGCGGCCACGGCATCTGTCTCGGAGCTGATCCTCAATACGGCCCTTTGGGCATGAGTTCAGAAGGCAACGTGAGGTTGATTTTGAAGGCTTTTCTGAATATTACACCACATCGGCCACAGCAACGGCAAGAGCAGCCTCTCACGTATTTCACACCGACTGCTCGTATCTTGAAGTTTCGATGAGCCCGGAGCACGCCAGGAAAAACTGCAAGGATTGCTCATACTCCGCACTGGGGGGGGGGTATCTGGGGTAGTACGCACCAAGGTGGCGTTGGAGGTCGTTCTGCATGTGGATGATGTGTTCTTCACCCTGCTCATGCCCCACAAGGCTTGTGGCTGCAACATGTCTTACTACAATGCGGCAACATTGCCTTAGTATCCGGTGCACCTCCTTGCGGTTTGTGGGGATGCCCGGAGCTGACAATTTCTAAAATTTCTAAAGGTACAGTTGGTAGTTTGTTGGGCGGGGGGTTCTGCTGACTCCGAGTCCCGTGACATGGATCGGAGTCCCGGGATAATCTAGCATCAGGCCTCTATAATCGTTTACTGACAGATTGGGGCAGTGTGAGGTTGAACCGTGCCTGTCGTGCAGAAGTATCCCTACCCGGGCTATGAGGACGGGTGGATTGTGCCTTGTGCAGGTGTTGTCGGCCGTGGATCGTATGGAGGAGATCACTGTCACCCTGGTGCCTTCGGCTACACTGTTCTGGAGCAGAGCCGGCAGACGGTAGGTTGACCAGTGTTCGGAAGATCGAATAGGAAGTCGCCTGGCCGGAATTGTTTGCTCTTGCCTTTACATTTCCAGAGTCTAAGCTTCGTTGAAAGCTTGTTTCCCATGCGCACTCCCAGCTGAAGTTTCAAATCCCAGTCGCTGCGAGACTGTTAAGGCACGACCCTGGATGTCCTGCCTGAGACATTTTGGCATAGCTCCTTCCTTGCAGAGACAGTGGGCACTGAACCAGATCCGGCTAAACTCATGGAAATGCCCTCACGTGCATTAACGAGTGCTGTGCATCGTGGCCGGCATATGACAGCTTGCGGTGCATGCTCAGCTTGATGATCTTTCAGATACCACGTGCCCCTCGTTTACACCGCCACCAACCAGAATAATAATGCGGGGAGCCGGAACAAAACAACACAGGAAGCATCACAAACAGCACCAGCAGCTGCAGCCGCAACAACAACAGCAGCAGCAGCAACTTCGACAGCGAAAACGACAAGGATAAGGACAGCAACAACCAGCACCAGCACCAGCACCAGCACCACTACCAGCACCAGCACCA